AATGATGTACAAATGCGCTTTACACAATTGATGTGTGTATGGATTGCGATAACAGTTGTATGAGCCCCTAATAAAATGTTTTAAAAAAAAAGAAAAAACAAACAAATTAGATCAACTATCAAGATGATAATTGTGTTATTTCTTTTAAAAATCTAAATTGCTTTATATTGGTGAAACGAGTTGGAAAAATGTAAAAATCACCATCTTTTAACACAGTATTTTATGATTGCTTCCATTTTTGTTAAGTATTTATTTACGTAAAAGTCAGGACAAAGGAATTTCTAATGCTTTTAATTATTTTTTTGTTTTATTTTTTTAAATCATTTTATTGGGGCTTTTAATTATTATGAATAAAAAAATGCATTCACTATATCACTCCCCACAAGGAATCTGAAATAAAACAACTGAAATTTAACGGTCTTTAATGGATGAATTTAAATAACTTAAGCAACTTTATAAATATCAGATTTCAAATTTCTTCACAACCTCTTACTACAAAAATATGATGATGACCAGACCAAGTAAGTTGGCAAGGTTTTCAAATTGTACATGACAAGATGTTCATAACTAAATATATCACTACATATATTCCATATTTAAGTTGATGCCTTACAACACTATTTGAATTACTACTGAGTTCACCTGAAGTGTGTAATTAAACTAGCCTAGGGAAGTCTGAGGAACTACAAAATGGCAAACAAAAGAAAATCAAAAGAAAAAAAGATAGAAACAGTACTAGGGAGATTGCCCAAAGGAGGTTACTAGTGTTTGTCAGTTGTCCACATTCCAGGTGTAGGTAACTTCCAGGACTGTGAACCTAGTTGGCTAATATTATCAACTGCTAGCACGTGCAGAGGTAGAATGACTCCCACAGTGTTCATCATCCCTGTTACCTGCGCCTTGGAACTTCAGGTGAGTCTGCAGGAGCAACCCCCCGGGCCACGGAGGCCAGGAACTCTTGCCTCTTCTGCTGCACAAGGCATGCCGCCTTGATTATTTTGTGGCGGGGTGTGCGAAGGTAAGGCCTGTTGACTTTCTGAGCAAGGTCTTCTGTGACCATTTCTAGGTCTGTCTGTGGTAAAGATGATGAGGGGGGAAAAAGAAAGATCACAGGTTGGGTGGGTTAGTTAACAGCAAATTGAGAATTGATCTGGTTTCTGTTAAATCAAACTCTTGGTTTTAGAAATTAAGAGATGATTAGGTCCTTTTGAACATGTTTCCTATTTTGTGTATTATTTCCAGTTTGTGAAAGAGAAAGAAGAGTCATATGTGAAGACATCTTAAATTCAGCATCTCAAATTAATACATTATCTGATAGGCATTACAGACATACAGTTGGGACAAGCTCACAAGAAACTGAGGAGTACAACAGATTTATCATCCACATAAGGAATATATTCACAGAAAAACCTAACACACTCGAAGGCATTATACAAGCAAATGCATGACAGTATTATGTAGATTATATGTAAATATTGCAGGGATCTGAAGGAGGCCAAGAACACTGTAATTTGGGGTTAGATCTAGAATGATTTGTGAAGGAAGTGAATACTGAGCCTTGAAAGAAATGCAGGCTTAAATTAGTAGAGAAGAGTGCAGAGGGAAGGTATGAGAACTGTAGCCAGAAAAGAACGTTTGGTGGCTTCAAACCATATGAATGCATAATACTTTTAGTTAGCTACTGTGATATCAGTTGGCTTAGGTGTTTTGGTTTTTAAAAACTGTAATTTCTAGGGTTTTGCTCCGAAGATAAACTTTTAGGTTACCACCCTGTATTTAATGTGGCTTGTTTCATCTATGAAGATGAAAATTCTAAATCATATAATCAGAAATAGGTCAAATTTTCACCTCAACCAGTAGAAAACACAGAAATGAATGTTGTGGGAAATGTTTGTAAAACCTAGAATGTATTCAGACCTGCAGTGATATACTTACACACAAAGAAAAATTCAGTTTATTAATGGTCACTTCTCCTTTATTTAAAAACCATGCTAAAAATGAAAACAAAATTGTTTACTAATCATACCCAAGTAAGAGAAAATGTAGTGATTGAAAAAGGAGAAAATGTTTTTCATAATAACAACTACTATTTATATTTAATTTAAAAAAAAGGTATCTTACTTGCATGAGTTCAAATATTTCTTTCTTTGTGCTTTTAGGTTCTAAGAAAAATCCATATGGATAAGAACACTTGAGAATGCGTCGAGTTTTTAAGAGCACATGAACTGCATCTTCAATGAATGTGGTATCTGGACAGCCTCCTTCAGCTATAAAGTAATTCAGGCACAGTGAAATTCTGTTTTACAAACATGGTATTAAATTAAATGAACAACTATGTGTTCTTAAAAAAGAATAAAAAACCACGAAGGAGGAGCCCTAAGAAGAAATTATTTGAAGTAGTTCTGATAGTAGCTAATTAAACTATCTTGACAACGTATATAAAATACTCATGTATGGCATGTTTGACATGTATGCTTTGATAAATGAAGCACATGCCATAGTGGCCTAGGAGTCCTGCTGAGTCACAGAGGCATACATACTCATCCTTGCTGCCTTTCCACCCTGCTGGTACACAAATGTAGCTGTAGGCCAACCTAAAGGTTTTAAGGGGAACTTTGCTGCTGAAGAATTACAACAAGCACTTTGCTATATTTTTTGCTGAAAAAAAAATTGTAATTATACCAATAGTAATATCTAATTGGTAATAATGAACAAGACAAAACTGCTATCAAGACTTATTTTCGCTCTTAATTTCTAATTCTATAGGAATTATTCTCATAAAGAGGGTGTTGGCACTCATTAATTTATAAATAGGAGCAAACAAAATAATAAATTATAGTTTTAGGCTTAACACTCACCTTTTATATATAAGTTAAGATCATTAAAAAATGTGACTTTTAAAAACACATGCACATCAGAATCTGTATTCTGTGTGGTCAATGTAGGATACTATATCCTAATGATACAACCAATGCTCAATACATGTTTTAAAAGGTCCTTTTAGATCATAAATCTTAGGACCCATAGGTCAGTCCTTTCTCATATTTTGCTTTTTGACCCCCAAACATCCATTCATTATATACTAGTGTGTTAAGTTCTTTCAAAAATGTTTATGATGTCTACTCCATTAGGACTCTGTTAAATGTTCTCAGGAATTAGGTACCATGTAGTTTGCTCTATTGACTAGGTTAGGAATGTCTGTGAGGGTCCATCTACTTTCCCCAACAATGTACAACAACAACAAAACACACCCACCACCACTGAGTTAATACTAACTCATAGCAACCACACAGGACAGGGTAGAACTGCCCCTGGGAGTTTCTGAGACTGTAACTGCTTATTATGAGAGTCATATGAACCAAAGTCATAAAGTCATATGTTCACCTGACAGACTGTAGATCTCATTAGGAATATGCTAGGTAAACAAACAAATCATTGTATACAGCATAAGTTCCAGAATTTATTTGGCCTACCTTCCCGTCAAAAAATAAAAATCCAAAAACAAAGAATTACTCAGACTGCTCGATCTATTGCTCTTCAAACCTTCCACTGAAACTATAAACTAGTTAACACAGTTAGTAAAAATTATAACCCTTGAGTGTTTTGTTTACTTTTCCTTAATTACCTACACAGAAAACCAAAAGGTCAGTAACTTTTAAAAGTGCAGTCAAGAGAGTTAAGAGACAGGGACCAAATGGAAGTGAAACACTGGAACAAATAACCAGGCTGTTGGCACAATGTGAAGAGTATAATCCAAGATAAAGTATAGGTATCTGCTTCTGCCACCCTTCCTGGATCGTTCCAGCACCCCCCACAGGATGGTATAACTCACTTGGGGAACACACTGGAATAAAGAAACAATAGAATGGAGTAGAACTTTGGGTGTCTATAATCTTTACGGAAACAGACTGCCACATCTTTCTTCCTCACAGTAGCTGTTGAGTTCAAACCAACAACCTTTCAGTTAGCAAGTAAGCACTTAACCATTGCAGGAACAGGGCTCCTTATAGTAGATAGGTCGGGTGGGAGATCCAATCATAGAGGCCATGTATGCTGAGCTGCACTGAAGGTTTCAGAGAACTCACATGGTACCAATAAGCTGATGAGGTTAATGTATTCTTTAATGAGCTCAATCTCCTAACCAGTGAAGTGATTTAGCATGAGAGAATATTTTACATTAATTACCAGATATACGACATAACTTACTTTCTTTGAGAGCTTTACTCAACTGCTCCATCTTTTCTTTGGCTGTTTTAAGAAGGCGCTGTTCTAACTGAAGCAACAGAAATGAAGAATTTATATCATTCGTTGAGTTTATTCACAACAGTATAATAGAGCTCATTTGAAATGGTTTGGAACATACCTGATAGCTATGCTCGTGGTTTTTAAATCTTGTGTAGTAGTGCATAAATCTGTCCAGTTCCTGAAATCGCTTGTGTTTTTTCTCAGCCTAGGAAATAAAAGTCCATAAATAACTTTTACAAAGCTTAGTTACTTGAGATAAAAATTATATTAAAATCATTACAGATAGCAGGAATCTATAAAGCTTTTATCTTCACCAAAACAAGAAAAAGTGGGGGAAATAGCTAAGTTTATACAGCTACTTTATTTAAATTAAGGGATACTCTAATGTATATTCAATTTAATGTCTCATTAAGATGAATCTAGGAAAAGGGAGATATGGAAAATCCTTTCAATGGCATTAAGTAGGGTGGACAGAGTTCCTTACCTCCACAGTCATTTCCTTAGATTGCTCCTCCACATGCTGAATCACTTCATAGCGAGTACATCTGTAATAACCTCCGGTGGAAGAGCTGTGCTTTTTCCATTCTTCTAGGCAAATCCAGCAAAAGTCATACTTGCACTTCAAAAGAAAGCATATATGCAATCATCTCTTCATGCTCATAAAGCTTTAATCTGTTTTCTAGCCAATAAATTTGTAGTGATGATTCCATCCTGCCTGTCTGAGCAGGAGTGAATCTCTTCAAAGACCTCTTTCTCATGCTTCTTTCTGGAGGCCAAAGTATGGGGAGGTAGTTTAAAATGCTGCTAAGGGTAAGTTAAAATGTAAATATTATGCTATAAACTAGTCACAAAGATTTGAAATGTCAATATTTTCAAATAATAAGACATCGAGATGTTTTATTTTTCAAGTGTGTGGTAATTTTACATAAAGCAAGGACAGTCAATTTCACAAAACTGGTGATTTCAAAATTGGCTTTTGAAACAGGTTAAATTTAAACGGTCTCTAAGTAAAACAGGAATGTAAAACTGGTTTCTTGTTTTCTTAGAAAATGTCATGCATTAAGTACCATAATTAGCAGATAATGCAAAAAAATATGAGCATTCTTGTATAAAAACATCACTATTTTATGTTTATGGATTTTGAGTCAGATTTTCCTATGAAAAGTTTATAAGGGAATGTTGCTTTCTTCTGATTCCTTTAGGATTAACTTTTTAAAAGTATAAATCTTTGAGTCCTTTGAAATGTATATAAATATATGGGTCTAAATTCCATTTTATTTATTTTCAGATGGCTGCCCAGTTGTTCCATGGCTGTATATTGAAGTCCAAGGTCGGAGAAGCCATCTTTACTATACATTAAAATCTCATGTAGCTCGGTTTAATTTCTATTTCATTGATTTGTCTATTCATGTGGAGGTACCATATTGTTTTTAGTAATTGAGCCTTTATAATATGACAACTCTCACCATTCTTTTTTCAGAGTTTTCTTAGCTATTCTTGCTTTGACTTTTACATGTGAATGTTTGGATTAGCTTCTCCAGATCAGGACACAAACCCTGTTGGCAGTTTTGTTGAGCTCTTTCTAACCAAAAGCTTCGTTCACTTTCCTTTCGGTTCATCGTTTGTGTCCTGTGTTATTATTAGGTGTTGTCAAGTCAGTTCTGACTCAGGGACTCCATGCGTAACAGAATGAAACACTGGCCACCGGGCCCCATCCTCCCACTTGTTAACACTTCACCCATTATTGCAGCCATGGTGTCAATCCTTCTTATCAAGGACCTACCTCTTTCTCACTGCCCCTCCACTTTTACACTCATATCCATGTCTCTAAGGAGCATTCTGACTGTACTTCTTCCAAGACTGACCTGTTTGTTCATGGTCCTTTCAATATTCTTTGTCAACACCATCGTTCAAATGTGTTGATTTTTCTAAGGTCTTCCTTAGTCAATGCCCAACTTCAACATGCATATAAGGCGAATGAAAATACATGGCTTGGGTCAGGTGTCCTTAAAGTAACATCCCTGCTATTCTACACTGTAAAGAGGTCTTTCTTGTGCATATTTACCCACCTGACTGATGCTTCCAAGATCACTGATTGTAGCTCTAAGCAAGACAAAATCTTGACAATTTCAATCTTTTTTTTTTTTCCTTTTCTCCATTTATCATGTTACCTACTGTTCCAGTTGTGAAAATTTTGGTTTTCTATACATTGAGTTGTAATCCACACTGAAGACTGCAATCCTCAATTACCAATACCAAGTGCTTCAAGTTCTCCTTATTTTAAGGAAGCAATGTTGTGCCATCTGCTTATCACAGGTTATTAACAAGCCTTTCTCCAATCCTGATGCCCAATCCTTCTTCATATAATCCAGCTTCTCCGATGATTTGATAAGCGTACAGACTGAATAAGTATGGTAAGAGGATACGATCCTGATGCATCTCTTTCCTGATTTTAAACCATGCAGTGTTCCCTTGTTCTGTGCCCACAACTGACTCTTGATCCATCTATAGGTTCTACACAAGTACAATGAAGTGTTATGAATTCCTATTCTTCCCAAGACTATACTAATAGTTTGCTATGATCCACACAGTTCACTGTGTTGGCATAGTCAATGAAATACAAGTAAACATCTTTCTGGTATTCTTTGCTTCAGCCAATATCCATCTGACATTAGCAATGATATCCCTTGTTTTACATCTTCTGAAACTGGACTGACTCTCTGGCAGCTCTCTGTCAATGTACTGCTGCAACTGTGATGATCTTCAGCAAAATTTTACTTGCATGTGATATCAATGATAGTGTTCCATCATTTGCCCATTCTGTTGGGTCATCTTTGTAATGGGTATAAATATGTGTGGTAGTTACCTAATTTCATGTGAACTTGAAAATATAAAAGTGTTGTGGTTGAGTCTGACCTGTCAATCAGGTCACAGCATCATTGTGGGCGTGACCTTCGCATAAGGAAGGTCCTGGAAACCTCCCCTCTCTCTCTGCCTTCACCTTCATGCCAGAGTGCCACTTGGAGACCTGCACAAGCCCTGTGATGCTTCTACCGCCATGGGATCCACAAGACTTCTCACCCACTGGCCTGTGATCTTCCTGCATTTTGCATCATTACAGGTAGCTGAAAGAGTGTGAAAAGGGAATTATGGACTAGTATTGGACTTTTGAACATGAGTTGGACTGGGCTGTTTTTCTGATATAGTTATTTCTTGATATAAAGCTCTTTCTTGAACATAAATGTCACTGGATTTGTTTCTCTAGTCAACCTGGCCTAACACAATAGGCTTCTCTTCCAGCCAATCAGTTGGTCAGGTAGCTGTCTTTCAAATATCTTGTCATAAAGGAGTGCATGCTTCATCAGCTTGCTGAAATATTTGATTGGCATTCCATCAACTCCTGGAACCTTGCTTTTGACTAATGCATTCAGTGCAGCTTGAACTTCTTCCTTCAGCACCATTGGTTCTTGCTCATATGCCACCTCCTGAAATGGTGGTCTGTTAAATACTTCTTTTTGGTACAATGACTCTGCGTATTCTATTTTCATTGGAAACTTTCTGCATCATTCAATATTTTGCCCATAGACTCCTTTTTTTGAATTGCAATTCCAGGCTTGAATTTTTTCTTAAGTTCTTTCAGTTTAAGATAGGCTAAGCATGCTCTTCCTTTTTTGATTTTACTCTGGGTCTGCATATTTCATTATAACATTTTACTTAGTCTTCTTGAGCTGTCCTTTGAAAATTTCTGTTCAGTAGTTTGACTTCATCTCTATTTTCCTTAGCTACCCTACAATTAAGAGCAAGTTTTGGAATCTCTTCTGACATCCAATTGTGTATTTTTCTTTCTTTCCTGTCTTTTGAATGACCACTTGTTTTCTTCATGTATAATGTTCATCTTTTTTTAAATTAAAAGTTCATATTACTGGGGGCTCTTATAGCTCTTCTAATAATTCAAACATCATTTGTGTCAAGCATATTTGTACATATGTTGCCATCATTTACTTTCTATTGAGCCCTTAGTATTAGCTCCTCTCCACTCTCGTGACCCCTTGATTATAAATTATTATTTTCATAACTTACACTGACCGCTGTCTCCCTTCCCCCATAGTTTCTGTTTTCTGTCCCCCTGGGTGAGGTGGTTATGTGTTGATCATTGCAATCGGTTTCCTCTTCCTCCCCATCTTCCCCCTACCCTCCTGGTATCGTTACTCCCATTTTTGTTCCTGGATTCCTTGTGTCCTAAGCTCTTATCTCTTATCTGTGTACATGCTCCAGTCTAGCCCACAGTGAAAGGCAGGACTGGGTCATGATAGTGGGAAGCGAGGAAGCCTCAAGGAACCAGAGGAATACTGTGTTTCATCGGTGCTATACTTCACCCTGGTTGACTCATCCTGTATGTCCCACCAATGTAAGATGTCCTTAAGGCCATCACAACTCTTCAGGTCTACTGTCAGTAGGGTTTATGTATGTATGTATGTATATATGTAATTAAGGTTTAATGCATCACATATGCTCTTGAAATTCAGGTGGGATAGAGTCGAAGTCTTATTTTGGTTTTCATGGGCTTGTTCTCATTTTCTTCAACTTCAACCTGATCTATGAGCAAAACTGATGGTCTGTTTCAGTCAGCCCCTAGCCTCCTTTTAGTTGCTGTTATTGAGCTTCTCCGCTTCTCTTCTCACAGATGTAGTCAACTTGATTTCTGTGTATGCCATCTGCAGAAGTCTGTTTGTTCTTGAGAAAAGGTGTTTGCTATTAGCAAGTTAATGGTCTTGCAAAATTCTATCATGAAATCTCCAGCTTTGTTTCTTTCCAACTACTGTTACTTCCTTTTTGCTTCCAACTTCTGCATTCCAGTCATCAATAATTAAGAATTCAACTTAATTGCATATTTGATTAATTTCAGACTTTAAATATAGGTAGAACTCTTCAATTTTTTTATCACCAGCTTTAGTGGTTGGTGCATAAACTTCAATGACAGTGGTAGTGATTGGATTTCCTTAAAGGCAGATAGATGCAATCCTATTACAGACAGCATTGTACTTCAAGATAGAACTGAAATGTCTTTTTTGGACAATGAACACAACACCATTCCTCTTGATTGTGTCATTCTTGGCATAACCATATGATTTTCTGATTCAAAATTGCCAATACCAGTTCATTTTCGCCCATTAACCCCTAGAATATCAATCTTCATGTGTTCTATTTCATTTTATACTTCCTATGTTCCTAGATTTATACTTTGTACATTCCAAATTTCAATTATTCATGCTTGCAATGCTTTCTTCTTACTGTGATTGCCCATCAGCAAATGAAGGTCCTGAAGGCTTTATTCCCACAGGCTTTTACTCCATCCCTGTCTTTATGATTGACTCTACATTGAGAAGGCAGCTTTTCCTAAAATTATGAACACCTCATTTATAGATGCTATGGGGGACAGTGGGAACCAAAAACCCATCTGCAGGGTATCTAGTCAGACTGAGCCACTGGCAGACCCCCTCTAATCATGGGTAAGAGTCTTGAACAGCCTTACTATCAGGCAGAGAGACCATTGTATTTGTGTTAGTCTGGGTAGACTAGATAAATAAATCCAGGGAGACTCTTGCATGTATAAGAGAGAGTTTTATATAAAAGGTAATTGTACATTAAGAAAACATCCCAGCCCAGTCCAGATCAAGTCCGTAAGTCCAATATTAGCCCATATGTCCAGTACCAATCTATAAAGTCCTCTTTCAGACTCATGAAACACATGCAATGACGCTGAATGCAGGACTATCACAGGCCAGGGGGTTGGAAGTCTTCTGGATCCAGTGGCACTGTAAGCATCTTAGCGCTGGCAAGAGTCTCTATGTGGCTTCTCTGGCTCCAGAGGTCTGGCCATGTGTCTTGTCAGTAGAGTGTCTCTCAGGGAGTGAGCAGAAAGAGCAGTGTCTCCTGCCTCCAAGGAGGAAAATACAGGAGTTTCCAGAATTCTCAGGAGAAGGCAATGCCACACAGAGGCCTCATTGGTTGTATCTTGATTGACCAGATTCCATCCCTTCATTCGTAATCCTCTCAAACTGACACCAGATTATGTAACTACCACAGCAATCTTGATTATGCTGGATCAGACTCGATACTTGGCCAGCTCCCCTCCCTATAGACACAAATTTGTTCTGGGTTCAAGTGTCTTTTACTTGTTATATAACAAATTTCTTTCCTGATTTTTTAAATGTTGATGGGGTCTTTTCTTTTTCACTCATTATTTGTATTTTGGTCTTTATATTATTATTATTTTATCCTTACCACCTTATTTTGACTTTTTAAAAATGGTTTCTGTTGGGTTTCCCAGTTTGTGAAGCACAGGAGGAGTGGATGCAGTGATAACCGACACAAGGGTTTATAGGAGATGTAGAGGTAGGTGGTGGGTGATAGGGAGGGAAGGGGGATTTGGGGAGTAAACAAAGAAGGTGGGAGGCGGGAGGGAGCACTAGAACTGATTGTGATTGTACAACTCATTTTAAAGGCGATTTAACCACGAGGGCGGGGTGTTCTAAAATTGATGTGTATAATTCTTCTTGATATGATTGAACTATTGAATTGTATGATATTTAAATCATGTGCCCATAGGTTGGGGAAACAAAAGCTATTATTGACCTTTTGGTCTTATACATTAATTAACAAAAAGTAAACAATACACTCAAGGTTGAAAATTTTTATTCTTTGTGTTAAGTTGCTAATTAGTTTATAGGTGACTCCAGGGAACAGTCTCAATGGAAGGTTTGAAGAACAACTTGGGGGCTAGTCCTGGGGGGCGGGTGTGTTTAGTCTGGAATATTTAGGATTTTGATACTAAGTTCCACATTTCTCTCCTTTAAAAACAAAACAAAACCAGGATTCATCTATTATGTTCCTGAAAAAGGATAAACACGATTTCCAGTTGAATTTAGGGCTATTTCCTGGGTTCTGGTTTGGGTTTGAGTCTAAACTGTGCACCCAGCCTACCCCGACACGAATGCTGAAGACAAAGCGGGTACATAAGCAAATGTGGCGAAGAAAGTTGATAGTGCCAAGCTGTCAAATTACACAGAATCTGGGGTCCCACATGCTGGAAGATAAATAAGGGGCCATCTAACTGAAAAACAACAAAGCCCACATGGAAGCACACCAGCCTGTAAGATGACAAGGCAGCGAAGGGGTCAAGTATCAGGCATCAAAGACCAAAAAAAAAAAAAATCATAACATTGTGAATGAGGGGGAGTACAGAGTGGGGACCCAGGCCCCATCCGGGGGAAATTGGTCATCCCCTTGCAGAAGGGCTGCAGGGAGGTGAGGAGTAAATCGGAGTGCAGTGTAGTTAATGATGAAATATGCAATTTTCCTCTTAATTCCTAAATTCTTCCTCTACCCCACTACCATGATCCCAATTCTACCTTACATATCCGGCTGGACCAGAGGAGGTGCACTGGCACAGATAGGACCTGGAAATACAGTGAACCAAGGACAGACGAACCCCCCAGGACCAGTGGAAAGAGTGGCGATGGCAGGAGGGTGGAGGGAAGGAGAGAGAGAAAGGAGGAACAGAGGACAAGGTCTACATGTGGCCTCCTCCCTGGGGGACGGACAGCGGAGAAGTGGGTGAGGGAAGACGTTGGATGGAGTAAGATATGATAAAATAATAATAATTTATAAATTATCAGGGGTTCGGGGGGAGCGGGGAGGGAGGGGGAAACATGAGCTGACACCAAGGGCTCAAGTAGAAAGCGGGTGTTGTAAGAATGATGAAGTCAACATATGTACTAATGTGCTGGACACAAATGACGTATGTACAGATTGTGATGAGTTGTATGAGCCCCTAATAAAATGATTATTTGATTTAAAAAAAACTGTGTGCAACTAAACCAGCCCTGTAGGAGGTATATAGATATATATACACACACAGTGATCCAGCTGTATTAATTGGTTAGTACAGCTACAAACAGAAAGGTATTTTCTAAAGGGCTTGTGAGGCTAGCAGAGCCTCTGCTCTGGAAGGCTTTCTTTCTGTGTCAGTTATAGGGGAGATCATGATCTTGCCTCTTCAGTTTCTGTTTCCTGGAGATCTCCATCAATCTTTCCCCATCTCTGCTTATCTCATTTACTTAATCTCTTTTATATCTCTAAAGAGATTGTCTCTTGTCTCTAGACACACTCTACACTAATTCTGTCTCATTAACATAACAATTACAACCCATTCCCAAATAAGACTATAACCACAGGCAGAGAGGTTAGTATTTATAACACATGTGAGAGGTCTTCATCAAGTTCATGGAAGAATTCCATTATCTTTTAATTACACTCTCCCACACACTTTTTGAATCCCCATGTATTGGGGGGAGGGGGCACACAATTCAATTAATATTCTACCTGAGGACCTACCCCTATTCATGTTCTTGCCATATATGCAAAACACATTAATCCCATTACACCATCCAAAAAAAATCTTAAATCAACTCCAAGTCCAAAATCACATCTTCTGAATCCTCTAAATAAGAATTGGGTGCAACTTTAGGCATATTCTGGGGGCAAAATTCCTCATCTGTGAACCTGTTAAATAAGGACTATAAGCTATCTACTTCAAAGTATAATAATAGAACAGGTACAAGGCAGACGTTTCTATTACAAATGGGAAAAATCAGAGGGAAAGAAGTGATAGCACGTACCCAGCAAATTTGAAGCGTAGTGGAACAGATTCCATTTGCGCTCAGCAGTGGCTCTCAGTCTTCCTAACGCCGCGACCCTTTAATACAGTTCCTCATGTTGTGGGGACCCCAACCAAAGAAGTGTTTCTGCTACTACTTTATAACTGTAATTTTGCTACTGTTATGAATTGGGCGACCCCCATGAAAGCGTCGTTCGACCCCCAAAGGGGTCGCAAACCCACAGGTTGAGAACCGCCGCTCTAAGGCTTTAAATGATCTTTTTTTGGGGGCTTTAAATGATCTTTATAAGATTATTTAGAAATTGCCCTGCACTTCAGACTCTGAGAGTTGACCATACTTATCTGGATTCTGGGGAGAGGCCCTTTGGTCCTGGATTTCAGCTTCCAGGTCCAAAGAAATGGCTTTCGGTGACTCCATCCTTCTAGTCCAACTGGATGGCAATCTTACCTTCTTGGCCCCTCTCAGCGTTAGGCCGTGGGACCACCCCCATAAGCACACCTGAGCAGCAGCAACACACACCAGAACTGAACTGAGTTGGTAAAGATCTGACTCTTAAAATTCTAAGGGGCTCTACGCCCATCCTTTGAGACCCAAGAGTCTAAAGCTCCACCCTTTGAAATCAAGAAGGGCCTGCTTCTTGTAACAGTCCTACTGATCTTAGAGTTGCTCCAGAGATGGTCCTTTTCTTAGAGGACAAGAGATGTAGCTTCTTTGGCCTGTTTCCTGACTAGAATTATAAGAGGTAGAGTTTTTAGTTCTCTGCCTAAGCTGATAAAATCTACCTATCTTCCATTATTTAGGCAAACAAATTCTTTAGCACTGCATAAAAATCTTCATCCTTCTTACACTGTCTAACCACTTGTTAACCTTTACCTCACCTGCTTGTTAAAGCTCCTTTACATTTTAATAGATTGATTTGAGACACACTCCATACTATGGGAGCCTCATTAACATAAAAAGAACACATTTCAGGCATAGAAGTTACAACTTACAATATATTTTTGGAAGACAAAAATGAATTCCTACTAACAGCTAATAATAATGTAGGACTTTATAATTTATTATTATATCATATATTATATGATTACTATATCATTTAAATAATAAAGTTTATAAATATATAATTGCAATTCTTCTAGGACCCTCACTGTGGAGTAAAAAGAGGAAAGGATTCTGGCATTCCAACCAAATAACATCAAATCCCCACGCTTACTTTTAACGCTGTGAAAATGAAGTTAGTAATATAAATCAACACTTACATTATTCAACAAATTATGTAAAATACAATCTTCTAGAACCATTCTGAAACTCACAAGATTGTTATGCTTATAACATTTCTTCTTTGAGCTAACCACCAATTTCAATTTCAAAGCATGTCAATTTCAAAGCATGCAAAATCCATACTTTCTTACCTTAGCACACTGCATATGATTGCAGCCCTCATTCTTCTGTATTGGAGACTTACAGTTTGCACAAGGCTTGGAGTTAGTTAACAACCAGAGACAATTGGCAGCATCCTCATAAGCTTCACTAACTCCCACAACTTTGAGATATTAAGCAAAAACACAGAAATAAATGGTTTAGTATACAACTCAGAGGGGGAAAAGGCCATTTTTTTCTTTGTATGTTGCCTGTCGATTTTAATCCTGTATTTATTTTCCTATCAAGATCTATGGTACCATTTTAAAAAATGGATACATTCTAAATAGTGAAATTTTGATGAGCTATATTTCAAAATAGTGGCATACTAGGTTATGTATTGAATTGCTAACTACAAGGTCAGAAGTTAAAACCCACCAGTTGCTTTGTGGGAGAAAGATAAGGCTGTGTGCCTCTGTACAGATTTAAAGTCTCAGAAAACCCAAAGGGGCATTGACCAGATAGCAGTGAGTTTTGGTTTTATATCCCAAAAGTCTCATATGAAGCATGATTTAAAGAAAAAAATTTTCCCTAGAATGTCCAAATAAACTGGGGGGAAAATATTTTTAAAAAGTTGTATGTCACTCAGTATAAAAATTACATCAAAGAAAATTATATTAACAACGATTACTTTAGAAAATAACATCTTAAAAAGGTAGGTTGCAACAAATGAAACTCTTCATCATAGTGCAAAGATGGAAAATTATATTTAAGTAAAAGTTTATTTTTTATCTATGATATTTATTTATTTTTAAATCATTTTATTGGGGACTTGTACAACTCATCACAATCCATATATAAATATGGATTGCGTCAAGCACATTTGTACATTTGTTGCCCCCATCATTCTCAAAACATCTGCTTTCCACTTGGGCTCTTGGAAATCAGCTCCTCAATTTTTCTATCCGTGATATTTAAATAAACTTAAAATGAATCAAATAAGACTTGTTTATAACTAATCATTTTCCCTTAGCCTGCTGTGCTTCTGTACTATCTCCTGTTAAATGATATGATTTATGCAGAGTCAATCAAGAGAATGCATGACTTCAGACCAGTTCTTCCTGCATTGGCTCAGTTCTGTACACTACTGAAACAGAGTCAACTCACCTCTCCAGCTTTTCCCATTTTCAGTATATTGCCTATATAGTTAACATTTAAAAATATAAATCTACTTAAAATATTTTAATTGCTACCCACTGCATTAACATGAAAAATCAATTTCATTTAGCACAGAATGAAGCCCTTCATTATCTGGCTCTTGTTGGCCCTCAAATTATCCCATCCTCTAATCCCCACAACGTATGCTCTTTGTCATGTTAATCTCAATTTACTCTACTAGAATTTCATATCTGCAATAATAAGAAATGGCATGTTTTCTCTTTTTTTAATCATTTTATTAGGAGCTCATGTAACTCATCACAATCCATACATACATCAATTGTGTAAAGCACATTTGTACATTCATTGTCCTCATTCTCAAAGCATTTGCTCTCCACTTAAGCCCCTGGCATCAGTTCCTCATTTTTCCCCTCCCTCGATAATTTATAAATTGTTATTTTGTCACATCTTGACCTGTCCGAGGCCTCCCTTCACCCACTTTTCTGTCGTCCGTCCCCCAGGGAGGAGGTCACATGTAGATCCTTGTCATCATCGGTTCCCTCTTTCCAACCCACTCTCCCTCTACCCTCCCAGTATCGGAAATGGCATGTTTTCAAAGATTCCATATTTTACATTCTAGTTAGCTATGAACTTAAAAAGGAACCTATGGGGTAGTGAGTGTTTAAGATGTGCCAGTAAACAATTGTGGGTTTTTTCCCCCTGTAAGAATGCTCATAATACACTGCAGGGGCAGTGAATTATTTAATGTGGTTCTTCTAGCTAAAGTTTCTAAACCAGGGGTCCTCAAACCTTTTAAACAGGGGGCCAGTTCACTGTCCCTCAGGCCCATTGAAGGGCCAGACTATAGTTTTTTAAAAAACTATGAACAAATTCCTATGCACACGGCACGCATATCTTATTTTGAAATTAAAAAACAAACAGGGAAAAAACACCCGGTGGGCTGGATAAATGTCCTTGGCGGGCCGCATGTGGTCCCTGGCCATAGTTTGAGGACCCCCTGCTTCTAAACCCTACCAAACAACCTTTCCTGCATGATCTGGTAAGAATGTGGGAGGAGGTACTGATAAGATTCACCTGTAAATAATTGTGAACAAGATTCCCTGGAATGCTATCCTGCTGTGTATATAACGAGCCCTCTGAGAAGGAGGGAGGGAGTTCTCATTACCACCAAGAACCTGGATGGGGCACATCCCCTGGACCTGAGATCTCTGTGCAGTGAACCTCCTGGATTCAGAAGACGACTATAACATCAAAGGAGCAGCAGCAGAACCAAGAGCCAGAGCATGGAAGAGAATGATGGACTCCCAACCCACGGAGCAGGTAAAACCGAGTGTTTTTTGTGGCGAAGCTGGCTTGTGGAGTGGAGGCCTTCGGGCACTTAATTGGGGAAGCTGCGTTTGTTGTCCCATGCAAGTAGAGGCTTCATGCTTAGGTTTACTGGAGTGCCTCTGGTACTCAATCCAGGGCACTGGGTTTGCTGACCTAAACATCTTGAACGAATGTCTGTGGTTTGAGGCTTACACAGAAGTGTTATGTCTCTTTGGGCATTTCTTAGTAGACCTGAAAGAACTTGGTAATATGTTCTGCTGAACCACTCAACCCTGAGCATTTCTCACTGGTATTACAACTTGTTAACATCCTTCATAAGCCCTTTAATCATGAATCTGAGTTCTAGGTAGTCATTGCAATGGAAATTAGAACCCAGAGAAGAAAAATAGATACCATTTAAACAACACACATTTGTTTTGTCTTCTTTCTAGCTCTAATTATACTGAAGAGCACTATCACTGGTTTACTGAAAGAAAAGTAAAAAATACTTTGGAATTCTCAGAAAAGGCAAGGAGCTAACTTTGGTGTCCAAAAGTAGGGGAGAAATAGGTCCTTTTGAGATTTGAAGTTTAAAAATGGTGAGTCCAAATGATGGGACACTTGACCAAAGTAAAAATGGTTGCTCTACGCTTCCGCTTCTTGTCTACATGCTATTAACCTGCTCACAGATCCAAGTCCTGGGTTTACTCAGACAGGAGCTGCCAGCAGATCATCTGCATGTTTTATTAATGCTATTCCACTCCACTGTATAATAGACCCTTGGAATGTATAAGGATACTCTAAAGTTTAAGGTGTTGGACACAACTAAATGGCTTACATAATATTTGACTTGAACTCCATTTTGTCCTAAACATTAATTCTGTTTCTGAGATGACCCGTGACTATTAGTAAGGAAATACAGGAGGGGCAAGCTTGCTCTCTGAAAGAAAGTGGCTGAAAGTAGATTCATTCGTATGGAGAAAGTTTATTTCCCAGAGAAGTTGCTAGAGTATTTCCTTAATGACTTACTGAAAACAGCCAATCAGAAGAACTTAGATGGCTAATCAGATTACTTTTTACTGCTGACGCTCAGGTCCAGCTTATCAATCCTCACAAAACAGCTACCCTTTGGATTTATGATCCTCACATGTTCAAAGGTTGTTTCCCCAATTGAATGATCTGGTGTTTTCAATAACTCTGTTTTCATAGAGTTGGAAAGTTTTTTTTCTCTCTTAAGACAAAAGGAAAGCTCACCAACTTTCATATATAAGTCCCTGGAGAGAGAAGGGAGACATGTTCAGGGTGAGTGGCACTGGGAGGTGGCTCTATGTATACTGATCATTAAAGAGAAAGCCCAATGATAAGAGTTAACAGAAGAGGACGAGGGCTGTCTTATTACAAGAAACATTAAGTGGCTACCCACTTAAGTATGTATCGGCAACAGATCAGCAGTTTATGCTGCACTGTAAAGCATTGGCTTTGAATTCTACATATATAAGAGAAACAATAACAGTGGATTGATTTAAACTCCTGTTCTAAACTCGCTCTGCAAAAGATGATTTGATTTAAGGTGGTGGCTGGGACAATGTTTAGATAAGTTAGTGGCAAAAGGGAGCATCAGAAGGATCTTTGATAGTTATGGTTACCTTATGGGCTGAGTTGTGTTCTCAAAGATATTTTGAATTATTAACCCTGAAGTCTATGAATATGACCTTGTTTGGAAGTGTAGGGTCTTTGAAGATATTATCAGCCATTTGGGCTAGGGTGGTCTAAATCCAGTTGGAATGATGCTATTATAGAAAAGGAGCGGACAAAGGAAGGATGGCTGATAGACAAAGGAGCTAAGTACTCAGCTGCAAGCCAAGCTGGAGCTCCAGTAGTCTGATAAGTTCTTCCCCTATAGCTTTTAGAGAACATAGCTTTACTAATATTTTGAATTCAAAGTGCTAACCTTAAGAGGTGTGAGACAGCAAAGTTTTGTACTTAAAAGCTATATAACTTGTAGTACTGTTATGCCCATTCTAGAAAACTAGTTAAGGTTAGGCTAGTAATTGCAAAAGTTGTAAGAAATGACTGTCAGTCTGTGGACGTAATATCATTTATAAAAAGATGCCGTTGATTGCCAGACAAATCTAGTCAGTAAACACATTTCACATTTAAAACTTGTTTTGTTAAAAGTAGGGACCTTTTTCCTCCCTTCAGCATTAATGTTATTTTTAGCCCAGAGGCGCTAAAATGTTCTTTTGACCTTCATTGTCCATTGTTGAAATAAAGCACAAAGCCATTAAAACAAGGCAGCTGTGTAGCCTGCAATAGAAGAGTTTTTCCTCCCACCCTTGGGGAATGCTACTTTCTAACTTGCATTATAGTTTACTGCCTTGTAGTTCTATAAGCTTTCATGGAGTAAGTTGTGCTCAGGAAAGAGTTATCGTTAGTGTGAATCCTTGTTCTGGAAAATTCTCTGAACATTTCATAATCTCTCCCTTTATAATACTATTATCTTATCTCTCGTCAATCTCTGGTGAGTCTTTCATTAGCCCTATAAACTTTAAACTCCTCTTTTTACTTCAGTTTATGTTGATTACATATTGATCATTTTTCTTAAGAACTTACTGTATATACTTGTGTATAAGCCGAGTTTTTCAGCACATTTTTAATGCAGTTTTTGTGGTCAAATTAGGTGCCTTGGCTGATATTCGGGTCGGCTTGTACTTGAGTATATACGGTAGTATGTTTAGGTCTTTTTATAAGAAGTATTAGCTTCATTTAATCAAGTATTAGAATATAACAGAATCTAAGAGTTGTCAGAATCAACATCTAAACATCTTTAAACAATGGAAAATTTTTAAAATTAACCATCATTTTATAGAAAACATAATTCTTGCTCTTGTTCTGATTGACATAATAGAGGCTATTTCAGAGCTTAATAACATTATTTGAATCTTTAATGGAATTAATTCTTAGAACTGATCTTGGCATATATTTAAATAAGTATTTTTTGTTTCATTTAGAACAGCATATTTCAAGAAAATCTTGATTGTGGTAGCAATTACAATTATGCTTGATCTAATTAAATTATGGGATGTTATAATATTTGTAAGAGCGCACAATAAAATGATTAAAAAAAGAATAGAATAACATAATGAATTTTATGTTCTATCCAAGAACACTAATTGAGTAAGTAGGAAAAAGACATCCTAAAAGTGGCAGGGATCTAGCCTGAGATGAATTAAATGGTTGAGCAGGATTTTGAATTAGAATATAGCAAGTCTACTACCAATAAAACTCACTGCCATCAAGTCGATACTGACTTAAAGCAACCCTATAGGACAGGATAGGACTGCCCTTGTGGATTTCTGAGACAAACTGTTTATAGGAGTAGAAGGCCTCATTTTTTTAATTTGGAACAGCTAGTGGCTTCAAACTGCTGACCTTGTGTAACCCAAATTAACAGCCCAATGTGTAAGCCACTATGGCCCCAGGGCTCAAAGAACAATTGTGAGGATGGCACAGGACCCAGCAGTGTTTCCTTCTATTAACATATAGGGTTGCTAAGTCAGAACCCACTTGACAGCAGCTAATACCACCACCACCACCACCACCACCACTAAGCTATATGATCTTACAGGAAGTGCCGAAGGAGTAGGGCCTAATTGTGATCCAGGTTTACCTTCATCTTAGGCTGGGAAATAAGTTCTCTAGAAGAATGGAGCCCATTTATGACTGCCTCCTGGGAAAACCATGGGATCTCCACAGTGATGTTTTTCAGAGTCTAGGTGATGTTAACTGGGAGCTCTAGTATTAACAAACTCAAGAACCTCTTAAATGAAGACTGTAATGAATGTGACCATATTACTTTTTGAAAATTATTAGAAAATATGTAGCACAACTATCTAAAATTCCCCTTACGTTCTTCTGGTTTCATTTCAGTTACTTTCTGTAGCCAATTTTTCCATGTTTGGCAATCACAAGGCTCATGTGCTTCACCAAGGCACTCCCTGAAGAGGAAAACAGAGAAGGCAATTAAAAATGTTGTTCACCAATTTCAAGGTGCAAAGGGCAGGTTTTTAAAGTTGATAAAATTAAGACCTGGTGATTACTAAGAGATGAAGCATTTCAATAGAGGAACTGAAAATGTCGCAGTTGGATTCCACTAGGCCAGCTGTTTGTTGTTGTTTTAAATTGGTACTTTTATTCACATGCGTTAAAAGTTCTAAATAGATTACCAAACATTTATAACATGGTTCTGCACTTTATCAAAAGCCTCACATGACACTTCTGTTTTAAATCACAATCTTATCTCTTCACTTCTTAGAATGCCCAAGTAGCAGGCAGTAAAATAAATTTACTTGTATTCTCAATTTCTTAAAATTTGTAAATCTAAAAAAAACCAAAACAAAAAACCCCCAAAACTTGTAAATCTATAGGTAACAAAATATTTGTCATTTCAGCAATCTTGGTATTATAATTTACTTTTATAATTTTGATATATCCTACATTTCACTGGAATTTTAAACAGATTTGGTTTAAAAAGAACATAAGTTATCAATTTGTAACTTAACTTTATATTCTCTTCTATAACTATACAAATAGCAAAACATGCAAATGGGCTTAAAGACATTATAAATTGCTTCTTCTAGTTCAATATATCACATTGCCTAGCACAAAGTAGCTGTTTCAATCAATCATAAAACATCTTTTATTTTGAGCCATCATCATCACTGCTGTTATCACATTTTTATTTTAAACAAAAATCTTACTTGCAAAGCATAAGTTCACTACAATGGCATGCTGACTCAGGTAGAGTCTTACAAACTAATAAGTGTTATTTATTTATTTATTTTTAACATTTTATTAGGGGCTCATACAACTGTTATCCCAATCCATACACACATCAATTGTGTAAAGCGCATTTGTACATCGTTTCTCAAAACATTTTCTCTCCACCTAACCCCCGACATCAGGTCCTCATTTTTCCCCTCCCTCCCCGCTCCCCCCTCCCGCATGAGCCCTTGATAGTTTATAAATGGGTATTTTGTCATATCTTGCCCTGTCCGACGTCTCCCCTCATCCACCTCTCGGTTGTCCGTCCCCCAGGGAGGAGGTCACACACAGTTCCATGTAATCGGTTCCCTCTTTCCTACCCATTCTCCCTTTACCCTCCCTGTTTTGCCACTCACACCACTGGTCCTAATTAAGTGTTATTTTATATGTTAAGAATGTATTAACCTTGAAAGAATAATTTTATTTCCTTAAATTTCTGGCTTATTGGCTAACCTGGCATTTGGAAAATCTTTTCCATAATTGTTTTTATAGCACTCCTAGTAACTTAACAGATATTAGGCTGATAAAAATGGAAATAGATATGCTAGAGTCACTTTGTTGTTAAGGGTCATCAAGTTGGACTGACTCATTGTGACCCACAGAACTATACTCGAGTTTTCTTGGCTGTTATCTTTATGGAAACAGATCTGCAGGTTTTTCTGTTAAGCTGCTGGGTGGATTTGAACCCCCAGCCTTCTAGCTAGCAGGTGAATGTTTAATCAATGTGCCCCACAGATTCTTAGATTTACTTTAGTATATATGAAAATCAACTCTGCTTTCCAGAAATGCAAAAATATCTTTCATAGCTGCTAATTTTAATTTGGCACATATACTAGCATACATTAGAGAGAGAAATATGCTCACATGGCACAGATCTAGGAACAGTGCTTCCTTCCATATGGTGCTTGTGAATACATGTGGGAATAAAGAACTTAGAATTCTCAGAATTTATTACAATAATCTCATCACAAGATAATCTTATACATCTACAGTATCTAAAACAAGACAAAGTCAGTGAAATAAACTATTTTCATTAAGCTTAATATTTTTCCCCTTAGAGATTAAAAAGCATATTGTATGTATATGTTTATCCTAATAAAATCCATACCAATGTGGCTAGTTCTACTACCAGAATATTTTCTGGCAGAAAAAAGAAAATGAGTATGGAGGGAGCAAGGGAATAAAAACTGTTTTCGATTAGAGTCTGAAAAAAAAGCCACTTATTTAAAAGGCCATTATTGTTTATCAGTGTGCTTGGTTCTACAAGGCTGTGCTGCATTAGAAAGAACAAAAGGTTTTCTTTTCCAGAACCTCATAGGAGGATAGAGAATTGCTGCTTCCTCATCTGTTGGCCTAATTGGTATGGTCATTTGGGGGTGTCACAGCTAGTTAGCACAGTCTCAACTAGTTACCAAGCCAATATTGTACCATCGTTTTCTTGGTGGTAATATTCATGGAATATAAGAGAAGAAGCTTATAAACAAGATGGTAGAACAAGGACTTTAAATTAGGAAGATAAGTTGTGATTTAATATGATGAAATATCTTTGAAAACTAAGACATGTGAAAATATAAGCCAAGACTTCTTCACAGTGTGGCACTGAATGGATATAATAAACCATTCTTGGGGTGGAGTCCATTCTGACTCAATGGGACTCTCTAGACTCCTTTCTTCTGCAGCGAAACCACCATCTTTTGGTTAGCAGCCAGATAAAATATAAGTGATTGGAAATTGTGATTATGTAGCAGTAAGGTGAGAGGTTATTAGAAGAAGAGTCATGAATTTACTGAAATGTATATACTAGAAAGCTAGCTTCTTGAAGAAAATTTCAACTAAGACACTAAGGGTGGTAACAAACCCTGAAGGAACTTTTTGGTACACTGTTGAGACTATATCTCAAATATCAAAATATCAGTAAAAATGTGAATGGAAGGTGAATCTTGGCATTTATACAAGTAAAACTTGAGTGGGTTCTTTCATAAAGGATGAAATAGGTTGCCTAATAAAAAATCCTTAATCATGTCCAAAACTAACTGGATGGTTAATCTTAACATCAAGAAATATAGAGGGGCAAAGTGGGGAGAGGGGAAGGATGGTATCTTCCTTGAAAATGTGTTAATATGCACAGTCCTTGGAAAGACTGTACAGTGGCTCAGAGGATTCTGGATCAGAAAATAGCTTCATTACTTGATAGAAGAAATTACTATCAAGAAGTTGTAATTTTGCAGCATAATCGAACTTGTCATTTTATAACTATTTAATAACTAAACCTGTTAGTTTGATGCCCCCCACCACCATTCCCTTCTAACAGAGTCATTAAAATAAAAGCGCTGTTTTTTGAGTTCTTAACATACTAGGCAATGTTCTAAATACTTTACATGTACCAATTCATTTAAAAGGAACCATGGTGCTGTGGGCTAGATGTGTCCTCATAACACCTCTTTGAAATTGGCACAATTTACTCTCATTTTACATATACAGAGATTTAGTGACCGGCCAAAGGTCACACAATTGGCAAGCGGAAGCTAAATACTTTGGTTCTAGAGCTAGTACTCTTTATATTAACTACATAAGACTGAAAAAATTATTACAAAAGAACACTTATCAAGCCACACAGCTAGTAAGTGGGTCTTGAATGCAGACCCTCTGTTCCCTAGACTACTGTCAATCATGTGCGCCACTGAAACTTGATCATTTGACCTCTGAAGCAGTATTTAGATGGTGCATTGGTTTGTTAAGAGGGCTGGGGCTGCCATAAAAACTTACCTCAGATTGGGAGAATTTAAACAACAGGAATCTATTTTCTCATTCCTGGGGGCTAGAAGTTAAAAATCAAGATATAGGCAGGATCATGTTCTTGCTACATGCTTTAGAGGAGGATCTGTTTGATGCCTCAGTTCTTGGTGGTTGTGTCTTATAGATAGATCCCTCCAGTATCTGCTTCCAGTTCACATGGCATTTTCCCTAGGGCTGTTCTCTTTTCATAGACACTAGTCACACTGGATTACAGGCTCACCCTGGTCCTCTAGCATCACATCTTAATTATCTCCCTAAAGCCTATATTTTCAAATAAGGTCACATCTAAGAGTTCCAGGAAGGGCATCAATTATGAGACTTACAGTTTCAGGAAGGACATGAATTGTGGAGGATACTACTCCATCTAGTACAGATGGATATTTTACATCTGTATAAAGTAGATATGAAATATAAACGGTTTCATGATCAAATTCTACCAAATGAATATCATTATGTTTTTACTTTTGGGTCTCAGAAGAGCTGGGGAATATTCTGTCAATTGGCAGGATGTGGATACTTAAAATAGCAAGGTACTGCCAACCTGAAAAAATATTTTCTTCCAAACCAAATGTATTAAGTGTTTGTAACTGATTTTTACAAGAGAAGAGACTCTTATTAGGTCCACAATAAGAATAACCTTATTTATTTTGCTCAGAGAACTTGAGGAATCTGTTCCTGGCCTGTGAAGTACGGCAGGAGACAAAGCATAAATTTACTGCTTTAACTCACTTAAGATTTATGATTAAAACAAAGGCATAGATGGGAAGATCTCAAAGATGAATGAAAAGAGAAGAGACTGCCAACCTGGCGAAATGAAGAAATTGTGGCTGAAGTTCATAGAATAACCACTGATGTGACAGTCGGTGAACTTTGGAATTTTCAATTTTAAGGGAAATTGACTTCAGCAATCCTGATGGCTGCTGAAAGAGCTGTACAAAGATCAATGAGGACAGAGCTGATTTCTCCATTAGTCTTTTAAACAAAATTGAAACTGATGAATTTTATGAAGCAAATCGCAACTAGGAAAGAGTCTTAGATTTGCCAATGTGATTCTGTGCACAAGATCCAATCAAAACAGTGGCTGCTCAGGAGATCTGATGGGCCAGTTAAATTCAAGACAGAGAGGTCAGTTCAGAAAGTTACAGATACTGTTTGTTGGAATTTCAAGTGAGGGGGGGGGCTTTTGATACTCATTCAAAAGTCTTAAGGAAATTGAGAAATGCTAGAAGAAACTATTCCACTGAGAAACTATTTCCATTACAACAAAGCACTTGCTCATTTTTGAGGGTAGCAAGGGCTGTCCTATCACTGGGACACTGAAAAGGAATACGACTTCAGTCTCTCAAGGATACCAAACTGCTGTTTTGACACAGTGTAA